GTCCTTAGCAAATTCTTAGCGCTTTTGCTGGTGAACCACAGATAACAATGTTTTCTTCTCTGGCTTCCTGCACCTTAAACCAGAATGCAGGTGTCTCCGTACAGTTTGTATTAAAACATTCAGTGCTGTCGCTGTAGTGCGGGTTGGCAGGAACGGATCAGCCATGTGCCTGGCTACGATGTCGTAGTGCCGAGCCGATGAATTTGCCTTTGGTTTAGGCCCACGTCGACGATGTTTAACGTCACCGGTCTCCGCATATCTGTGCACCCATAACTGCATGGATCTCCTCTGTTGATACCAAACAAATAAGTATTTAAAATACCAGGAAATACTTTACAGGAATTAAAGTTACTTAAAAATAATAATAAATATAAGTAAACACAATGTTAGAATAATAGTTTATAATTAAGTAGTGGCGTAAGGAATAAAAATCCCTAACCAGATATGTTTTAAAGAAACACTCCTAACAAAAACAAGTCAAGTTACAATACAATTAATAATAAATTATTAATATATCTTTATAATATTGAACTTCATAATAAGTTGCAATAATTATTTTATTCTAGTGCAAAAATTGATAGGTGTGTCGAGTTACAAAATGAAATAAATATTATTTAGAATAACAACGTAGTATCTTATTTACTCACCGATATCATTAAACGCCTTGCTATTTCAGTTATTGTTAGTTATGTTTTGCTCATGCAAAACAATGGTTTCAGCCTTTTTAAATGTTGATAGGTGTTGGAACATCTTGTAAAAATAAAAATAACTTTGCACACGAATATAAGTAGTGTAGCAATAAACTATGAAATCCTCATAAATTGACAACTAAGAACGCAATTATTTTGTAAGTCGGGTGATTTGAAAAACATGTTTTAAATAGTCGGTAGTTACTTCATAAGCGTGTAAAATAAAATGACTCGAGATTTCTATGGTCGCCACAAACATTGCAAATATACTCAGGTATCGAACCATTAAGAAATCACAGTTAATTACTTTTTACTGTTTTTATCTTATTTAAGTTGGTTGAAATGCATGAAGCAAATGAGATTATTCTAAATAATAAATAACTAGAACTAAAATATAAATAAAAGATATTATAGGTATAAATAAATCTAAAGTATTTACTATTAAAATTAACATAAGATTTAGAACAATAGGAAAGGAAAAAAAAGAAAAGATTTAATTGTTTCTAATTTCAAATTTCAAATATTTGATAAATTAATTCTAAAACAACATGTGAATGTTGGAATCGATCCGGCGGCACTTTACTTGACAATTGGAGGCGATAACCATTGCGCCAAGCGCGCTGTAGATGAGATCATCGAAATATTTTATATCATTCAGTAACATAAAATTACAATGAGAAAGCACTATATTTATATGGGTATTGTATAGCTCGATCGTTCATTATTTTTGATTTCGATTTATTCAAAGTTTGTTATGAGTAATTTTATCTTTACCCTCGTTTTTATTTAAACTTATTTACTAAATTATTGCGTATACCGACACAAAAATGATTTTTAAATACCAAGATGTGTGTGATAGACGAATGTTTCTATACATATCTATTGATATGAAATTACCCACACATGTATATTGTGTAAATGATAGTTGTGTCGATGTGTAGCGCCGCTAACTAATTAACGGTGCTTTGTACATAATATAATATATTCTGGTACTAAACTAAAAAGCATAAAATAAAAATAAAAAACTGCGTTTAAAGAAACCGACTTCAAAAACAAAAACAAACGAAAAGTTAAACTAAAAAGCAAAAAATAACTATTATTGGTCATACGTACTTACATATAGCTTACACACCCACAGATTTTTTTAAGTGGTAAAAATCATCGAATGACTACTCCCGCCTGGGTGAGGCGGGAGGGAGTGTTAGACTCTTACTGACTAAAACCACCCCGTTCCTTCTCCTGCACGTCGAGCCGGAGCCCCGGTAACCCGTTAGGTTCTCCGCGACTCCGAATCGGCATCGGCCCTGTTGGGCCCCATCTGTGGTGGTCTGATGGCTCATTGAGGCGCGAGCAGAACGCGACGCGCCGTACGCTCGGGTCTGTTTCTGGTCGGACGGGGAGCCACCCATGCTCACCGTCCGCAGGCCCGCGCTTACGGTGGCCGGAGATCGTCCCGCGATCCCCAACGCCCGGTGCGTCCTTCGCGATGGCTGGGTTGCGAGGACGCAGCGATTCGCTGCCTCACGCGTCCTGCCTCCTCCTTAGCTAGCATAACTGCTTCGTAAGAGGGGGAGGCGGCATCCCAGTCCCCCTCGCTTCGCATCATGACCTGAACTAGGCCCGGACGCGAGAGGTCGCCATCGCCGATCACTTCCCTGAGTGTACGGCGGTGCTCAGCCCACGCAGGGAGAATAGGCTTTAGGTATTTTGAAATCTGGCCTTTACGGTCGCCTTAACGTTTAAAACGTCGTATGAACGATCTTTTTGTTACATATGTATTTGAACGAAACTTACCAAAATCAGTCCAGTATACAAGTAATTGTAGTTGTAGTGTGTTGCTTTTTCAAATCACTGTATTTACAATAATTAAGTAGTTTTTTTTGTTGTTTTTTATTTATTATTTTTTTATATTTTTAATTAACTGTCATTTATTTTTTGTTTTGGTTTAGAAATAGCAGTTGCTACAAATTTCGACTAACAAGTTGCGATCTCCGTTCAGTAATATCACTTATCTTTATTAACGTAAATAACATTTTTACGGAAATAAGCTTTAATATTTCAAAATGTATTTATTTTTTTCTTTAACATTATTACGCAATAAACTTCTGAATGCACGTAAAAATAAAGAACAGTATCACCGAGTGTATTCGGGAAGCGTCGTGATCGTTCGGGTAAATTCGTAACTAATTCTCCGCGTGAGTGGCAAGCGCGAGGCGAGCTGCATTATGATTATGAACGACCACACTGGGTATTAGTGAGTATGGCGTCAGACCCTGTCAATAGAGCCGTACTGTCAGTTCTGTCACAGTCTATACAGTCGTCTAACGAAGACGTCTAGACAGGGCAATCGTGCGGGGTGTGAGGAGCAAGACGTAGATAGGCCGATCCCGAGCTGCGAACAAAACGATGTTAGTAGCTCGGGATATATTATTCAGGGCTAACGCGTGTTTGTTTTTACTGACTTCAAAAAAAGGAGGAGGCACTATGTATGAATGATTGTTTCTTTTTTGTATGTTTGCCGTTGCATGAAATTTTCAATTTATCATCCTGGGTCGTTTTCATGGTTTTCGAGGGAGGTAAAACCGATGGTGCTGTCAAAATGTAAATCCAAGATGGCGGCTGCACGAAATTTTTAATTTATCGCCATGGGTATCGTTTTCATGGTTTCCGAGGGTGGTAAAACCGTTGGTGCTGTCAAAATGTAAATCCAAGATGGCGGCTGCCCGAAATTTTAATTTATCATCATGGGTATCGTTTTCATGGTTTTTAAGGGCGGTGAAAATGATGGCGCTGTCAGAATCTAAATCCAAGATGGCGGCTACATGATATTTTCAATTTATCGTCATGGGTGTCGTTATCACGTAACAACATTGTGTTTGGGTTTGTATAATTTGTATTGACTAGAACCTATGTGGATTATAAGTGGCAAAACGGGTCTATGTAGTTTTACACAAAAAATGTAAAAAAAACTGCGTTTAAAAAATCGACTTCTCAAAAAACCTAAAAACTAAAACCAAATAAAAAGTAAAAACTAAAAAGCAAAAAAATAACCATATTAGTACGATGGTCAGTGGATGAGTTACTCACCCACTGTCCGACTTTTAGTCGGTGCCATAAGCTCCATAGGTGCCATATTTTTGACAACCCTGGCCGATGCGTTACTGTCTAGACTCTAGACGATGTCGGCATTTTACACGTCATGAATACAAACAATAGGGACCGGGTTTCTGCTTACACACCCAGTATGCGTACTGGTAAGCTCAAACTAGGTATTTATACCTGTACCAGTAAATACGTATCATCCCCTAAAGTAGAAGTATTTACTTCTGAGTCTGAATTAGTGAAGTCGTGACCACGAACAGACGATTTGCTATCATACGAGCATGTTAGACGCACCGATCTTTAAAATTTTGTCGGTTTTGTATATATTGCTTTGATATTTTCCTTAAAAATACCTCAAAGAAAAAAAAACAAAACGGTTTTTGTATAATGCTCCAGGTAATTCAACCGCTAATATAGTATATAGGGAAGCATTAACGTCATCAACTAGATACCAATATTACCAAATAAAAATATACTATAGTCAGGATCTTTATTGGCAAAAAAAAATACTATACGACCTTCTTGAGTGGAGTTCATATGTATATAGCCCACTGTTATCTAAACGATGTTGTTTTGTTTTCGACAACCACGCGAACGAATTAACCACATTGTTATTAGAGGCATGAACATGTTTTTTCCAATTTGTTTTTTATTTATAATAAGTTCATTCATACTGTTTATACGTATTCAGCACTTAAACATTTATTAGTGTTACCTATACTACTTTCTTATTGAGGTAAGTACCTAACTCTTAATTGTACGCAAACTACGATCAATAAATAGCTCAGCGTCGCTTCGAATGATGCGGATGTTTACCTCATTGTTGTAAGAAACTAAGTTTGCTATGATATGTTCCAATACTGACACGAATGATGCCTTGTTGATCTTTCTTCTTCTAAATAAGTGATAGTCAGGGTTCTATAAAATTACTTAGAGTATTTGGAACTTTTGATACGTTTTAAGTGTAGTACGGTGGCGGGCGGCGGGCGGCGGGCGGCGGTGTGCAAGCTAGCGCGGGCCGTGGCCGTGTGCCGGGCGCCGCGCGCCGGGCCACGCTACAGTCGGCCGCACACCGCGCGCGATCAGCGATACGGCTGTTTAACGGAAGCGGAGCGGCAACATCGCATATCGCTTTCTCTCTCGCAGTATAGCTTTGGCGTCGCTTCGAGTGGGCGCGTTCATCGGCCGGGAAAACAAAACATAATTTAAATGATGAACTCGAGACACTATAGAGAGCGTTTGATAGACGAAGTGAAAAAGTACCCGGTGCTGTACGACACGCAGCATGAGAACCACCGCGACATCGACGTGCGCGATCGCTGCTGGCTGGAGATCTCCGACCGGCTGGGCGCTAACAGTACGTATGCCGCTGTCAGTGTGATATTAGATCTTACTCGTTACAGTACATTACTAATAGTGGCCACAAAAAAACATGTTGTGTAAATGTTTCAAATTACATTTATGTAACTTTATAAAATTGTCATTTAGAGGACTGTTAACGTTTGTTATACTTAGCTGCACTATGCTTTTATTCCTATATTGCACATGAGTACAACGTAAATATCTCTTTGTAAACATTATTAAGGTGTAGGTACCTAGTAACGCTAATAATTCAGTGTTATAACTTCTATCGCATGTCTATCGCTCTGCTACAACTATAGCAACATTTTAAATTCAGCGTAATGTATAATACTTCAACTAATATTTATTATACAAAATGGTTCCGTACAAGATAATTACAGTCCATGTCGATATCTGAAGAGATAGAAAATTAATCGAATGTTTAGGGGAGGAGGGGGGTGATTTGAGCCTACTAATAAAAAAGTGATATTACAAACGTAACACTCCCTAGGCAAGTGTCTAACACTTCCACTTCCTCTCGCTCCCTCAAAAAAAATGTAGTAGACGATTGTTCTGTGCAACAGGTGAGGTGCTGAAGCGCGAGTGGAAGATTTTGCGTGACTCCATGCGCCAGGCTTTAAAGCGCAGTAAGACGGGCGCCACCACTAAATCAGGGTTGCCATGCAAGAAGTGGCGCTTCCAAAGTCGCATGGCCTTCGTGTTGCCGTACATGACAATCAGGCGGTGAGTGACAGTGCCACATGCTGCAATGTTGATGCTAGCATTGTTAAATTGTGTATTGTAGTCATGACTAGTATTGGCACGTTGTTTATTTCTGTTATAGAAACCAACGGTCAGTGAAGAGCAATATCAAGGTGGACGACATGGAAGCGGGGTCAGAGCACGAGCGCGAGGCTGAGGCGTGGGAGCCGAGTCCTCAGGCCGACAGTGACCACGACTCTCTGGATCTGTTTTTCGCAAGTGTCTGCCAAAGTACCAAACGGTTACCAAGAAAACTTCAATCTTCAGTAAAAAGACAAGTTCTGGATGCACTTCTCAGAGTTGAAGAAGAGTGGGAGGTGGAACAAGCAGAGTCTAAGACTGAAGTAAACAAAAACTTCTGAGGAAGTTGTTCAAGTTGAACATTGTTAGTATTTTTGGTTAGCGCCTTAAAATATAATAATCTGTCAAACTCGAAATTTCGTTTGAGATATGTGTCAGTGTGTAGAGTACCTAAGTTTAAAATATGGAAACTGCAAATGGTAGGTATATCAAATATTAATTTCTGCTTATTTCGTTCCCAAACGAGGAATGAAATTGTTTTAGATATTGTATTCATCGAAACTCCTCGAGGCCAGCAAAAGTTTGAATTTTTGGTCATTGGTTTAACTAATACCTATCAATCGATATGAAGTGACACTCCTAAATATCCCATAAAAAACGTACACATTCATGAACTACCACAAACTCATTTTTTCTTTTTCAGGGTAATCAAGAATCTCGGAATAAAACAGTAATAAAATGAGGAAGTATTGGTAAAGGCCAGAATCGATACGCTAAAATCAAAGCAGACCCTATTTTAGACGCCCCCAGAAAAAAAAGCCGATAATGGTACAAAAAATGAAGAGCACAGAAAACAATTTGCCATAGAAGTGACATAAAGGGGTAGAAGACTACATAGAAAGAACATAACATAAATCTCACTAACTTAAATAATAAGGAAGGAATATTCATGGGCCCAATTTAAAAATACTTAAAGCCTAGGGCTTCCAGCGTCCATAATTTGACTACCGTGGAATCTATCTATTTGGAAACACTGTCAGGTTGGTTTATACAATCATGGGTGAAGTTATCTTTACAAGTACTTGGAGAATATTATGAAGGTTGGAATGCCACCATTCCAACATTAAATGTTGCGACTTATTCCCGGAGAGTCCATGAGACATAATTATTATCTATTTGCTGTACTCGTTTGGATCATGGCGAATACTTGATAGGTAATCAAAGAGCCCAGATTGACCATCAGCAACTTGCTTTGCAATATAGACTTATTGAATTTAAGAGACCGTTATGTGCCCGACCCTGTCCTATATAAAATTATCATATTACGTTGTTAGACAGGACTATTGTTGCGAATAAGTCTGATACAGTAATAGACCGACTAGCACGCCACACGATGATACATCGATGTCACCATTCGTCATGGCAAGAATCTCGTGAGAGCTCAGAAACATACCTAAACAAATAAAGTAAATCATGACTCGGCTCACGACCTTGGATGGAATGAAATATTTGATAAATGTGTGATTAAAGTACATTATTATTTTCATTTCTAATTACAAATAACGAAGTCTACGATTACCTTTTCCAAGCCTTTATGTAACTAGCAATATATGTATGTACTGTACATAATGTATCTATCTGCTCGCTGATGTCGCCACTGTCGTGTGTACAATATGTGTGTGAAGTAAAATCTTGCAACTGAATGTTGATGCTTGATATCTATCGAATGTCATACACATGCAGTTTGCATGACCATAAATGCTTAGGTTGTTTTACTTTAATTTTCGTGTGCTAATTACCTTTCAATGATTAAATTCAGATTCTGACCTTATACAGTTTGAATATTGCTCGTTCGATTTATCTAAAAATCTTTCAATAAAATAATAATAGGTACATTTATTTGACACAAAGCACGATTCAGTAATACAATCATATAAATATAATTAACTCGTCGAGTACCGTATTTATAGACACAATTAAAGAACAATAGGTTGCGGTCACCGGTGACCGCTTGGTGTTTGACAGTTTAAAGTCCTAAATAATAATTAAAAGACAACAAACTTACAGTAAAAGCAAAAAGAAAATTTATTTCGATTCAAGGAATTCAAGGACGATTTCAAGGAATATAATAAAGCTTATTGTGGACTTTTATAATAATTTTTTTTTTGTTATAAGGCCAAGGAATCGGAACAGAGTGAACCATTAACTGACCACTGCTGAAGAAAAAAAACATTTCGTTTGATCGGCTAGCGTGTTAATTTATATGTATACGGTTTATGGCCTATGACAGATTTTTCATGATCAATTTCCTCTCAGTCAAAAACCCGCAAAATACTTTACTGAGCCCTATCATGAAATGCTATGTTTATCAACTACGGCGTCGGTAGCGGATTGAGTAGTAACAGTCGTCAAAACACGAAAATATCATTTTTCTGTCTACTTCTCCCGACTTACTTCCGATTAGTAACTAATCTAACTACAGTTAATACTTTAATCTACATCTGGCATAAGATTCTGTACAAAGACATCGTCATTCAGTCACAAAGTGATGCATTTCGAATGATCAAATTATATGAAAAAATTATGCGCTCATCTGACGTATAGTCCATCATTTTTTTAAAGTGGACGGTTTGCTTTCTTCAAAAAATTATGCTAACTATAAAGTAGATGAGTCTCCCACCAGGAGTCAACGGCAAAAAAAATACTTTATTAGATGTTTGGACGGCTACAACTACTCAACCCACCAATGGTACCACAGCTGACACTCATGAAGCTTCATGACACAACTCATAGAAGCTAATAAAAATTAGCGTCTGGCAATATGGATATACTGTGGTGTGATTTGGTGTTTCTGTACCCGGCGTACAGTGGCGCGCAATTTGAAGTTAGGAATTGTGATAAAAATATGAATAATTTGAATAAAAAAACGAAAGTAAAATGTTTGATTCCAGCTCCTTTTATTTTTATTATTATAATATTTTCCATAAATCATCGACTGCCGCCAGAAAAAAGAAAGGCACCAATTTTAGTCAATGCCCTTTATTTTCGGCACCGTGAATATCTCAGTACATAATATCATACAATGTCACATGAAGTACATAACATAGCTCCAAAGGCCCCACGTTACGGGGGGAGGGGGGAATTCACTGACATGCACAAATATTCTTGTATATTTGGCTGACTTCATGAATTTCATCAAGATTCACCGTCTCTTTCTCACGCATGTCGCCGTCTCGCTTACACTCAATCTCCATTATAACGATAAAACGACATTGAGCGTGAGATTGCCTATGCAAGGATCTCTTCATATTTTCACTAGTTAGAAATTTTGTGCCAAGCGAGTTTGAGCCTTATAACGTGGGATATAGGAAAAATGTAGGGATAGTAATTCGCAGAAGGAAGTTGGCGGTTGAATAAGGAAATGTTTTCCTCAGAGAGTATGTCGGTATCTACAGGGACCGCAGACTGTTCAACCATGCTGTCGATATCATATCGCAGAACATTGAGTTAATAATTATAATATTTATGTCACACTATTGCATGACGTGACCCGATGACTCATTATTCCGCAGGCGACACCAGGCGAGCAGGCTGTAGAGAACATTTTTTTTTTCTTTTTTTTAAGGGGGGAATCATCGAATGGCTGCTCCCGCCTGGGTGAGGCGGAAGGGAGTGTCAGACTATTACTGACTAAAAACCACCCCGTTCCTTCTCCTGCACGTCGAGCCGGAGCCCCGGTTACCCGTTAGGTTTCTCCGCGACTCCGAATCGGCATCGGCCCTATTGAGCCCCATCTGTGGTGGTCTGATGGCTCTTTGAGGCGCGCGCGGAACGCGACGCGCCGTACGCTCGGGTCTGTTTCTGGTCGGACGGGGAGCCACCCATGCTCGCCGTCCGCAGGCCCGCGCTTACGGTGGCCGGAGATCGTCCCGCGATCCCCGACGCCCGGTGTGTCCTTCGCGACGGCTGGGTTGCGAGGAGGCAGCGCTTCGCTGCCACACGCGTCCCGCCTCCTCCTTAGCTAGCATGATTGCTTCGCAAAAGGAGGAGACGGCATCCCAGTCCCCCTCGCTCCGCATCATGGCCTGCACTAGGCCCGGACGCGAGAGGTCGCCATCGCCGATCACTTCCCTGAGGGCACGGCGGTGCTCAGCCCACGCAGGGCATTCCGCTACGGTGTGTTCCACCGTGTCCTCAGGGCGGTCCTCGCAGTGATGACACCCGGTCGTTGCCTCCCGCCCCATCAGACACAGGTACCTCCCGAAACTTCCATGTCCGGTGAGGACCTGCGTCAGGCGGTAGGTGAGGACGCCGTAGCGTATCTCAAGCCACTCCTCAAAGAGGGGTCTTACCGCTGCCTGTAGAGAACATACGCGCACACACTGACTTACTTTTGCATAGTAACAATTATTCAAGACAAATAAAGCTAATAGAACACATTTCATACATATTTTACTTGCATCATCATCAGCTATACTTTTATTGTGAAGAGGAAGGTTTCAAACATTTTACACAAAAACTATTAGATACTAGTCCGATTTTAAAAATGATTCCACCATTAAACAACCTGTGTAAGGAGTATCCAATAGATCCGTTTGTAACGTTTTAATTTGATATAAAATTAAGTGGGTAACTTGGTTTAATATTAATTTGTTATTGTTGGTAGTATGGTTGGTGTGTTTATTTTTTATGTTTTTTATTGTTGGTATATGCTCTTGTTTTTTTTTTATTATTTTGTTTCCCTAAACGATGTATTTGTTTACTGTGACTGTGAGTGTTTTTTTTTTTTAATTGAATAATGTGAAGACTATTCGTGAAAACCTGTAATTGGCTTTCTGGTATTATTATGTTATCTGTTTGTTTGCTATGTGTAGCTGTTGGTTTTCCAATCCATTAATAAATAAATAAATAAAAAATAAATTAGCGAGCTGCGCCTGACTGAACTGCATAGACTAGCTGTATTACATAGCACAAATCTGCCTCTGGGCTATTGAATTGTGTTCCCTCCAAGAAGTTATACAAATTCTAGAAAAAGTAGTAGTCTGTAGAGGTGGGTGCAAGATCTGGTGAGTAGGGCGGACTAGCGGAGAGCTTCCAACTCCAGTTATTGCAACTTGGAAACCGTCTGTGTATGTATGAGGTCGCGCCGTCGCGCGCCGCGCCGTCGTGCAGGAGCAGCGGAGACGAGCGATTGACCAATGCTGGTTGGAGATGTGCATTTCAGGTGTTGGCGGCGGCAACAATGCGGTTTAAGATTCCTTCATCTGTGTGTCTGTTGAGCAGTGCATGGCATGTATCGACGCGTACATCGTTCGTGGTGCACCCATTTATCAAGCTTTTC